TGTTCAAGGCTATCACTCTACCGCTTGAGCTACCGCTCTACTTCTAGCGCTTTTTTTTTTTTTTTTGATAATTAATTGGAGATAAGAGTCTCACTGACTTAATTGCCTGGGTTGGCAAATAAGCACAATACTTACTAGAAGAGATTGCAGACAAGAGTCACTGGCACTGAGCTGCATTGCTTTTTAAAGAAAATTTTATTGTAAAGATGGTGTACCTAGGGGTTACAGTTACATGAGTAAAGTAATGAGCACATTTCTTGTCTAGCATTGTTATCCCCTCCTTCGTTTTTTCCTACTATCCCTTCCTTCCCCCACTTCCTCGTCCCCGCCTCCCCCACCCCCCAGCCCTAAGTTGTAAAAATCATTTCCAACATAGTGTCTTGTGAGTGACATTGTAGCAATGGGTCATCCTTCCCTTCCCAAATTAGATAAATGTATATACAAGATTCAAGGTACCAAAATCAAGTGCAATGATAACAAGGGATATACCATAAGGGGAAGAACATACAAAAGAAACAAAATTTGCATAGTACATTAAAAACAACAACAACAAAGAAAAACCTCTTTTGTCCATATGTTGGGTTCATTTTGCTTAGCATCATCTTATATTGCACTGCTTTTTTTATTTTTTCTTTTTTTGTTGGTCATGGGACCTGAACTCTGGGCCTGGGCACTGTCCCTCAGCTCTTCAGCTCAAGGCTAGTTCTCTACCACTTGAGCCACAGCGCCACTTCCAGCTTTTTCTGCTTGTATGGTGCTGAGGAATTGAACCCAGGGCCTCAGGCATGCAATGCAAACACTCTACCTCTGAGCCACTTTCCCAGCCCCTGCACTGCTTATTTTTAAGATATAGTTTTGTTTTCGCTTGGGACCATGCCTCCTATGTGAGATTCAACATAGTAGCTGTGATGACAGATATGACTACCACACTCAACTCCTTACATTTAGATATTACCTCGTGAACTTTTTAGCCTACCATTGCCTGGGAATACAATCATCTTGATCTCAGACTCTTGTATAACTAGGATAACAGGGGTGTCTTCACACTCAGCTACACGTTGAGAATTGGTCTCTTGTATATGCCCAGGCCAGTCTCAAACCACAATTCTACCAATATCAGCATTCACTTAGTTATGAACACACACAAGAAGCACCATTCCTTATTGCCTTTATTTTAGCTCATTAGAAAAAGAGACGTTCCCACCCCAAATCATGGTCTTGATAGCTCCCAGTTCTTACCTATGTTAGCTTTTACTTGGAAATGATTCCACTGTTATTTAGGTTGGTGCTTCTTGTTCTGATTGGTTAGTTTTGCTTGCTTGGATAATCTTGTTTTCCTTATGCTTCCTTAATTTTTCTACCTTTGTTTAAGTTTCCCACCTTCAATTATCTCACTTGTTCCCTTCTGGCCTATAGAACCTCTGTAGGGATCCTCTCTGAACCCTAATCTTTCCACTGCCATCTGGAATATGCTTCTTTCTATTTATGAGTACTTCATAAACCCAGTGCTCTCTGGATGCAGTCACTATTTCCTAGGTGCTGTTTACAAAGACATGAGAATAAATGTTTAAAAATAAGTTCTGCAAAACAAACCTTGGTTCTTAGCATTTTCCAGTTTCCATTTTGTAAATAATTCTTGGAGCAGCTAAGTTGCTATTGATGGTGCAGTTGGTAAGAGATGTGTACGACCCATATTCCCCACCAGTTCCAGAGACTCCATTGGACCACAATTAGAACCAGACAATGAGAGTTCTGAAATATGTTCATGACTTAATAAAATGACATGAGCATCATTTACTTTTATCTAAGGACTCATTAATATCATGCTCTACTAGTGAAACTGTGATATCCTTTGGAACTGGAGGCGTGGCTTAGTGGTACAGCAGCAACTATAAGCAAGAGCACAAAATTCTTGAGTTCAGACTCCAGTACCAACACGCACGCGCACACACACACACACACACACACACACACACACACACATACACAAGAATGTTGTGTCTCTAGATTTTATGATTTTGGAGTGGAATGTTTTTTGGTCACCTAAGTGACTAAACACATTAAAATAGCAATTAGATAAAATAACTAGTATAAGAAAGGCAATGATATTTTATTTTATTTCATTTCATTTTTGGTACCAGTTCTAGGGTTTAAACTCAGGGGCTGGGCACTGTCCCTAAGCTTCTTTTGCTCAAGACTAGCACTTTACCACTTGAACCACAGCTCCACTACTATCTTTTCCTGCCTGGGCTGACTTTGAACCTCAGTCAAAGGCTGAGCTACTCAGCCTCCTGAGTAGCTAAGATTACAGGAGTGAGCCACCAGTTTCTAGCTTGATATTTTCTCTTTGAAGGTGCTTTATAAGTTGTTGCTAATGTTTTGAATGAAATCAGTGCTCAAAACTCATTTGTATAGTTATTGCAGCTGTCCTCTGCCTTATTTTGATAGACCTCCACTCCTTCTCCCATCCCTACTCTTTAGACAGAATTTTTTATGTATCTTGAGATGATCTGAAACTCACTATCCTCCAGCTTCAGCTTCCTGCATGCTGGGATTACAGGTGTGCACCACCACATCTGCTCTCTCACTACTTTTGGTAGTGTTCTACTTGTGCTTTTGTCCCAGAATATCTTGTAAAATAATACAGATGGGGGATTTCTAATAACCAGCAATAATACATTTTTTTCTATGTGATTGAAAGGAACACTGTGTTATCTTCTGATAGAAGAAGAAATAGTTTGAGGTGTGTTTTTCTGTTTGAAAAGTTCACTTTAATTATTTTTGTGATGCATGACAGCTTTAAAATAGGGTTACATTTTGAAAACGAATTGCCTGTGGCTATACTTCAGGGCTGCTTTTTCTTCAGCCCATCAGTCCTGTTTGGACATGAAAAAAAGGTGTATTTTTATGTCAGTGATGGGCCAATAAATAAAATGTTATATTTTTCAGGAAAAAGTTCCTGGAAACTAATTAGAGTCAGAAGCAGAGACAGATAGGAGATTGAAAACACTCTGCTCTGGTTATTTTGTGCTCTAGCATGTCTGTGCATCTATGGATGCAGGAGATATTGACAAATCATCATGATCAGGAAATCCCTGTGAAGCAGATGTAGATCCACTGTGATTGTCTTTAGACATTAGCTCTTTCTCTTTCCCGCCACAGCTTGCTGAAGGCAAATCTTAACCAAAGTAAATTCCTCTTCGCGGATGGAGGATATTTCTTTCTGTCTGAGGAAATTAAAGCAATTCAGCCATACATCTGCTGCATAAGTAGGAAAATACCTAGGGTGCCATTTTCATTTCAAAGCAACCATTTCTAGTGCCATCAGTATGGCTAATCACAAATATTGTTTTGGAAGAATTACTGTTTTATCAAAGGAAACCTAGAAAAATGCCTGAAATTTGTGATTACTGTCCAAAAGCAGCAGGTGGAATTGTGAAAGTTTTAGCTATAGCATATAATGAGTGCCATTTGTACATGAAAATGGCCCTGTTAGTATTCATTAGACTAGCTAAAGCTCATCTGTTTAATCATAAATAGTTTGCAAATAGTTTAATATCATGAAATTAAAATGTAATTAAATGAATGCAAACATAATAAACAATAGCATGTCTAAATTATTATGGCTCCATCATTTTTATTTGAGTATTCGGAAGGTTTTACCTAATCTGAGTAAAATATAATTGAAAGTGACTTTTTTTGGTGTCGGGACTGATGTTTGAACTCATGGCATTGTGTTCTCACTCACGTGGCTTTTTCACCCAAGGTTGGATGAAAACCAGTTCCAGGTTTTGCTAATGAACTAGAGATAAGAGTACCAGGACTTTCTGGCTCAAACTGGCTTTGAACCATGATTCTTAGATGTTAGCCTCCTAAGTGCCTAGAATTACAGGTGTGAGCCATTGATGCAAAGGGACTATTGAACTCCACTTTGGTATCAGAGTCTTAAATGTAGAAAAAGTAATCTTCATATTGAAAAAGTATTTACTTATTATCACTACTGCAAATCTAGTGAAAGGAAAAGAAATACCAAATAGGTTCCATTTATTGTTTTAGTTTTATTGTTAGTTTTCCAACACTGTGACATTATAGGCCTAAGAAAATCAATTTGGCTCATGGTAACCATGGTTTTAGTCCTTGGTCATCTGACTCCATTGTTTCTGGGCCTCTGGGAAGGTAGAACAGTCCTGGGATATGGGAACGGGGAGAGTGTGTAGGGGAGCAAAGCTGCTCACTTTATAGTGTCCAGGAAACAACAAAGAAAAGAAAGAGCCAGGGACACAATGGATCCTTCAAGGAAATGTCCCCAAGTGACCTACTTCCTCCATCCATGCCTCACCACCTCTCATTCATAGCCCTTAAACTATGAATTCATCAGTGGATTAAACTGTTGAGGATGGTAAACCCAATCATATTCCAAGGCCCTGCCTCTGAACTCTGGCATATGGGGACCAAGCCTTCTACATATGTGAGTTTGGGTATTCATTTCAGATTCAAATCATAACAGTCAATATATACTTCATACAAGAAGGCAAGGATTATTCATTTCCCCTCCAAATCATATCAGTTGTTACACTGAAAGTTTTAATTTACTAGTTATTATTCTAGTTATGTAATTATTATTCTAGTTATGTACTAAGCTAATGATTTTATTAAAAATAATGGCAAATTTAGGTCATACATACCTGATTTTCTACTGGAGGAAATAATGTAAGGACTATATTTAACTTTTGAGATAAGTTTAAGATCATTGAAGTCACAATATTCAAAATTTGTTTTCTAATAAAAGCTGAATAAAAGTACATGACATAGATACCAAAATTACAGTGATAAGGGCTTGGGAAACTATTCTTCAGTACTTGTTTAGGTATGCAGCCCTAGATTTGATTTCCAGCACCACAAAAAACAAGACGTTATCAACAGTAATGTTCATAATTATGTCTGAAATTGACTATCTAGATTTTTTTCAGCTGAAAAACAGTGATTAAAATGGCATAGTGATGCTCAGATTACCTGCTAAAGAACTCATTGTTTCATTGCAGCTCTCAGCATTCGAGAGGCAGATCTTTGACTTCCTTGGCTTCCAGTGGGCTCCTATTCTTGGAAATTTCCTACATATCATAGTAGTCATTTTGGGTTTATTTGGAACCATTCAGTACAGACCTCGATACATCATGGTGGTAAGTTTTAATTTTCTCATGTCTCTTGATATAAAAACTACAATATTTCTTTAAGGTAAAGAAACTAATTTTAGTGTTACTCTCCAATATGAGGTGGTGTTACTGCTCTAACCTTCAAATATCTCAATTCTGGTAAGAAATGTTCATCTGTAGGCCAGACAGCACAATGACTGCTCTGCATGAGATCAAAGCAGCATGCTCTTAAGTGTGAGATGGCATAGTCTGACTCAGCGCAACTATGTTTTGGTTTCACATGGAAACTCAATGTAGGGTTTGAATACACGGGAAGTATGGTTATGATGCTATGCAGTGTATATTAACAATGTCTGTTTTACTAACTTATTATTAGCCTTTAATAACATTCTCAGCAACTCTAGAAAACAAATCACTGAAATTAGTGATACATAATTTAAAATCAGGACAATACAAATACATGTATTGAAAGATAGCTACTGATTTACTGATATACCATTCATACATTTTATAGTTTATTATTTAATGTTTCTCTTTTTTGTCAGGGTAAATCTGAAATATGGTCCATCCTCCAAACTATACTAAACATGGTCAGCCCTCTCTCTATCTTACGATAATTTAAGAAATGCAATCGTGTCACCCACAATCTAATAGAAATTATTCATAGTAATTGGTTTTAATTTTTCTTTTTAAAAAGGGGTAGCATTTTAAGCTACCTGTGCTAGAAGGTTGTAGATATTAAGCAGTAATAATACAAGTAATTACAAATAGTATTAATGTATTATAAAAGCCTCAGTAAGCCTGAATAAATAGACATTGTTTAGTAGAATTTTGAAATACAGCAACATTAGCACACTAGAAATAAACATGCCTTCAAAATGTGCCATCTTTCCACTTTCATGCTGTCCAATCTGTTGAAGAAAAGTTAAATTACACAATTCCTGGAAAGTGCATTAGCTCTCTACTTCAAACCTCAAAATTGGCCTCCTGATGTTTCTCATCGTAGAGTGGAGGTGACTATACCTGGTCAACAGCCTGATTCCATGTGGCCTCAGGAATGTTTAATGTCATTCCATTTGCACAAATGGACAATTTTTGCTTTACTCTCAGTCTCTTAAAAAAAAAAACCTACTAAGCCTCTGTATAAATTGTTAGAAAGGCATTGGACTTGCTGTGTTAAAGATTTTAATATCACACACAATATCAAATTTCTATTGATTCTAAATACTAGTATAGTACCCATCACTGACATTTATTTTATTTCAGACTCTTGTTAGACTACTAAGACTCAAAATTCCACATGTCTACAAAAACAATGACTTCCATGGATAATACTGGAGATAGCTATTGGACACATTATCTGGTCCTGTTGCTTTTACTCTTGAAGTATTGTTCTCCTACACACTATTACATAACTACTCCCTTGGCTGAGACTTCTGCCTTCTTTCTGCTATATATAGATTTTCTACTTGCTTCTTTTTCTCTTCTGAGTGGTTCTTTGCATTTTCATAAACTATGGCTTAACATCCTTCCCTGGATCCTTAGTAGCAAACAATCAGAAGAGTTTTGTCTGATGCATGTGACCAAATTCATATTCTAAAAACCTTTTTTTCCTTTTTTCCTTCCTGCCTTTCTGCCTTCTTTTCTCCATCCCTCATTCTGTTCCTTATTCCCTTTCCCCTCTTCTAATTTTCATCTTATTCCTTTTCTTTGTCTGAATTTAAAATATAGTAACTTATTTTCTACTGAATGTCCAGCATTGTGTTAGGTATGAGTACGTGACATCTGTGATTAGTGGTAGAAAAGAAGGAATACAGGGTGTAATGAGATAGCTAGTGAGAGTTCATTGGGGAAAAGTGCTCTGTGGAAGTGCTGGGAGCTGAGATATGCAATGTGATTGAGTGAGAGTTCACAGGGAAGAAGGGATAAAGGAGATTCTGAACAGGAAGCATCACAGAATACATAAGAGGAGCTCTTAAGCATTCACGGAGTACTGTACTATACTTGAGCTTGATAACTAGCACAAAATGCAAATTACAGACACCTTGCTCTCCAGAAACTCCTTAGGTAAGAGAGAGGAAACAGGATCATGATCCAGAATTCTCTACAGGTGGTTGATGACTGGAAAAATGGAAAGATAATGGATTAGTAGAGGTCTGGAAAGTGTGTGAGCCTGATGTAGAAACTATTAAGGATGAATAGATCATGTGCATAGGCTCCTGGTGATCTCTGCTCGTCTTTCCTCTCTAGCCTCTAGTTCTCATTGCCTTGTCTAGTTTCTATGCCCCAGCTGTAACATTTTTCAGTCTATTTTAATGATTAATCACCATCCTCCTTAGTCTTTGTGTCATGATCATGTTTCATAATTTGTTTACCTTTAAGTCTTCTCTACTAGGCAAAGAGCCATGGAGAACATGGAAGGTTTTGTGTGCTCTGTATATATTTATTCATTGTTTGCCCGTCTCTTTCTTTATGGGTTCGCATGATTGAGTTGTCAAGTATCTCTCTTTCCTGCCCCTCTGCTCTCTGCAGAAAAGTGCTTTTTAGATTCCAGAATCCTCAAAGAAAACCAGCTTAAAGAAAAGCAATTCATATCTTTGCTCATCTAATTGTCTGTTTTATTGCATTGCCAACTAAATCTCTGTGATTTTGTTTGCTTTCTTACTAATTCTCTGTCCCAAGAAGGAAGGAGAAAGAAAGCAGTAAATTATTAGGACAGCTCTCCAGCACAGCTCTCTCTCTCTTTCTCTCTCTCTCATTTGGTTTAATCTATCTTCCCAAATACCTGATGAGGTTTGTATTAGTATCCCTGATTTTAGAAACAAGGAAAGATGTTAAGAAGTTTGAGTAACTTGCATGGGAAACAAGCATAGGGAGCAGGGAAAGTGGATTCATTGGCTTCACTTGACTTGTCTTATTAGAAGTTGCTTTAGAGCAATCTGATTTCCTTCCCTTGCCATATTTCAAATCACCTGTTGCAATGGCCATTGTAGGTTGTGACGTGAGGAATTTTCTTGCCTTGCTTCTGTAGTCAATCTCAAAATAGGATTACCTACAAAATAGGATTACCTATTCCAGATTACCTCTTGGTCTCCCATGGCTACAAAATTGTTGAAAGAACCAGAAATCCACAAGCATCAGAACTGTGTTTGCAAAGGATTTTTTCTTTTTTCTTTTTTTTCAAGCAGGAAGGAAATTCGTTTATTAACAGAGAGCAGCCCCTTTTAAAGCCAAAAAGGAGCAGGTGGCATGGCAAGGGAGGAAGAGGAACCAATCACCGTCAAGGTCACACCCTATCATGCACCTAAGCTTCCACGGGCTGGTTATGCACTGAACGTAAGGCAAATTGGGCTCTGCCCACTCTACTCCCTCTCAGCGCCATCTGCAAAGGATTCTTTCATGAGAAACACATGTTGCTATGGAGGAACGTGGCCACACTATATTTGTTAGTTTATTTTATTTTGTCATACCAATGCAGCTGTCCTTAATCTATTTCACAGAAAATTTTGATTAGACACAACTGGTATGCTGGATTTGATTCTCATATTTAAAAAAAAAAAAAGTTGAAGCTGGGTGCCTGTGGCTCACACCTGTAATTCTAGCTACTCAGGAGGCTGAGACCTGAGGATCATGGTTCAAAGCCAGCCTGGGCAGGAAAGACCGTGAGACTCCTATCTCCAATAAACCACCAGAAAACCGGAAGTGGCGCTGTAGCTCAAGTGGTAGAGCATTCGCCTTGAGCTGAAGAGCTGAGGGACAGCACCCAGGCCCAGAGTTCAAGCCCCATGACCAACAAAAAATAAATAAATAAATAAATAAGACTAAAAATTAATGTGGTCTACATACACAAACCAAGGTGTTTTTTCAAAGACATCAACTTTTTAATGACAGTGAGAGGAAGCCTGGATCAGAAATCCAAACTGACTTTTCCCTGGACAGGAAATGAGCATGGATGGCAGATTTTCTCTCAAATCCACTTCTAGTCTTCTTAGTATCGCCCTGCTTCGTTGACTGGAACAATCACAAATACATGCTGACTAAACTTAATCCACCTCTAACCAACAGATATTTAGGAGCACCAGGTACGTATTAAATGCCCACTTTGAGATTAATAAAACATAATGTCTATCATTGCTACACTTTAATGGAATTCAGAATCTGGTTTTGCAAAAACACAGATGGTCAGTCACAGCCATTTGTGACAACAAACAGATTTTGCCACACTTCAGTTAAAGAATTAATCATCCTTATGAAAATACTTTAGGTAAAGAACCTTGCAGAACAAGCTCTCCAGTGTCTACAGGCAAATCTCCAAAGTCCATAGAGGGGAAATCATATCAAAGCCTATGAAAATTGCTCCTTGGCTTACTTCTTCTGTGTCTCCTATGTTCCTACTTGCTGATCTCCCACCAGCCACACCAAAGGAGCCACACATTCCAATAACCACACACTTCTGCATATAGTGGACCCTCTGTCTGCAATGTCTTAGCTACCCACCCAATGAGGACTAAATGTCTTATCGTCTCTGCTGCCACTGATCCTGTTATCCCCTCTTACCCCCTCCTCTTATCCTGCCTCCATCTCCATCTCACTGTGCTCAGCAGTGTGATCCTGAAGGCAGAAAGGACTGAGTTCATTTGCCTCCGCATCTAAGTCTGTTTTGGTTAGGACAGATAGTTAAACAATCTGAACACTTGATTGTGAATGAATAAATAAGTTTAAGGTTATTGGGTGAAATGACTTCAAAAACACATAGACTACAGTATGATTTGATAGACTATGTCAGCCATAGTTCAGCAAAAGAAAGTCCTGGCTATTCTGCCTTGATTACTTCAATCAGCAATATAGGCTGTACTACCTGCACCTACTGTTAGCTGATGTATTCCCCAAACCCTATGGCTTCTAAACTCTGTAATGTTGTGGGATGCTGCTGCACCACAGACAAAATTTAGAAAAGTCTCCCCTAATTACAAAGTGAAATGACAATAATTCTATTCATATGCACCATTGCCAAAAAAAGAGCATAT